GAGAGAGAGAGAGATATTGAGTAACGATTCCAGAGATAAATTAACGAAATTGTAGACGGCTACGAAAACAAAGGATAATGCTTCTCGAACGTCTGACTGTCCCATAAATCTGACATAAACGCAGACAAACTGTATTCTTTGAATCACGAACTCGAGGAAGCACGAAGCTCCTTTTTGCTAAAACTGACATTTAAATTGGTGACTTTCTGCAATTGTGATTCAAACAGGTCGTAAAATGCTCTCTCTAAAATCATAAGGATGGGAAGGCGACTCGAAACCTCGGACGACAACTTTCCTTTTAAAGTAAAAATACAAACAATTTTTCTCTTTGTAATTTTAAGAAATATATTTTTGCACGGTACATTATTCTCCTCGTCGGCGTTAAATCGGATCAAGAATTTAGGTTTCGCAGCGCGTTTTCATCTTCGGCTCATAAGTGAGGATCGCACAAGGCAAGAAGGGCGGAGCCGCTCTCCCGGCGTGTCTCTCTCAGCGGTAAGTAAGTTCGCCGCAGTCACCCAGCGTACTGGTAATTAAAGTAATGAAGGATAAACCGCCCGAAGTAACTCGTGTAATTTATCCGTGACTGCTTCCCGACTAGCTCATTATAGTACTTTGACCTCCTTCCGCGCGAATTCATATCTGCCTTCCTCGTCTGACGCGCGTAACGTGCGTACGTTGAATTTTTACAGCGACGATACAGTCGACAAATAATTGTTTAATGTGAAACGCTTAACAGAAAGCATAACACAATGGTTGGAAGCAGAAATAATTCTCATATCGCAAAACGGAGAAAACGGCGGCAGTTTCGCAAAATAATTCAAACTAAACATTGGTTTGCGGGAGAAATTTGATATGAAATAATAGCAAGAAAAATTTGAACGGACGATTTTTAATCGACAACAAACGCGAACGATTTGATTTGATGTAATTTTTGGCGATTTTTTTTAAAAAAAAAAAAAAAAAAAAAAATTACATCAGTAGGTGCCATCTCGACAAAGAGACATTATCTCTAGAAATGAAAGATACATCATTAATCTCTCACAGACGCATATTAATTAACTTTTTTAATTTGTGCTGGTTGCATGCATAATAGATGAGAGCTTTTTATAATGCAATCGCATCAAGATCGTTACCTATACACACTGAATAATTCAAGCGGACGAAAGTATAATTCGCCACGCCACCACGATGCGATAAATAGAAGAATCGCACGTGCCGTAAAATTGCTTGCGATAATATGGGATAGTACGCGAAGTTTCGGTGGTGGACCCATAAAAGTTTCAAGCAGTTTTCTAATTTAAACTCCCGATGCTTTCTGCTTCATTAAAGCCCTATCTTATCGAGCGGAAATATTCATGTAAATTGTGATCTTGGTATGTGCACCGTACGTTTTCAAGCTGGCGCTTTACGGACGTTATTTCCATCGACTTTTATGGCGCGCACGGCGACGAAAATTTATCGTGGCGCGAGAGCGCAATGTTTTAAAACAATATTTTCGCATATAAAGGGGGACGAAATCATTTTTATCCCCCTTCTATCCGTTCGCGTCTCTATCGCGAATGCGATTCTAAGTCACCGTGCTGACAAGTTGCCAGCTGCCGTTTCACCATCGTGATAAAATTTCATTTCTTATAACTTTAGTAACAATATATTGATGTAGGCCGATATGTTAATAAACAATAACTGAGAGAAATCATGCCTATTTTTCGGCAAGCGGGATCTTAGGTGCTAAATTTCTATATGAAAGAAATGTAAATAATTGTCACTATTAGTAAGTTAGAATTACAATTAGTGGTTCTACAACAATTTGACAACAATCAAATGCTTTGATAAAATGCCTCTTATTATTATTCCCCACAGAGAGTAATTAATGTGTTCGACTAAAAAAGGATAATGTCATTTTTAATTTTATAAGACAAATCAGAAGTTTTATTAAAATTCACTAGACGCATAAAAGTTTTGAAAAATATTTTCTTTCCGATTTAATGTCGGCAGTGTGAATCTTAATAAGATTTTGTAATTACATGTTTCCCGAAATCTTCTAATGCCTTTAACGTCCTACGCTTTCCAAACTTTGACACTTGCAAAGAAGACGCAGCCCCATTTCTATGGCGCTTCTAATCGATCACATCGCGGTCTCATCTGCGAGTTTCAATAAAGTCTCATCATAAATTCTCTGCCTCAGGACACCGACGGGTCTGGAAGACGTCAGCAAGTACCCGGAGCTCTTCGCAGAATTGCTAGCGCGTGGATGGTCGGAGAAAGACATCCAGAAGCTGGCTGGTCTGAATCTTATACGGGTGTTCAAGGCGGTGGAACAGGTAAATTATTCTCTAGTCGAGAGGAGAAAAGGATAAGAGGATCATCTCTTTCTACGTTCAACATCTCGCTTGATGAAAAGAGTAGACGCGTGTCGAAGGTAGAAAAGTCGCATCAATGAGGAGAGAAGGGAAAAAAGGGAAAAGAGGTAGAGGAGACAGAAAGATAGAGAGAGAGAGAGAGAGAGAGAGAGAGAGAGAGTAGTTCGTTCGTCGGAGAGAGAGAGAAGTAGAAGTAGAGAGGAAGGAGAGAGAGAGAGAGTCGTTTCTGCCGTGAAATAACCGATGGCCTGGTTCGGGTTAGCCGAGTCGACCAATATCGGATTTAATAAAGCATACAAATCATGCATCTGACCCGCGCGCTGCATCGTCGAACGAGAGAGAAGCCGCTCGGGTGAACCGTGATTTTTGTTCCCTTGGAGTGCTGCCAGTCGTAGAACCAGCTGGCACCATCCACTAACCCATCCGATGGGCTGCTCCCTCTTTCTCTCCTTCTCTCTCGTTCTCACACTTATGACCTACAGTCACGGCTACGTATGACGTATGTATTAAACGACTCTGAAGTATCGCTCAGCATCACTCAACACTGACGTTTCATAATATAAGTACACTTCGCGAAAGATAAGCTCGGATATTCCGAGGGAGAATCGTTGCACCTGGAACCCTCTTTCGCTCGTCAACACTTTAATTAAAGCTCCACGCTCGCGAAACACGCTTGTTTACGTGTGAAGTTACGAGTTACGGGAGTCGCAATTGTTTTCCGTTTAACAAAAAGAAGAAGTAATTAGTAATAATTTTCGCCGTCTAGTTTTCCATTGATATAAAATAATAATAAGGGGGAGTATCGGTGCAGAGTTGCCGAGGATTATAACTATCGGTGGATTTGAGGGATTAAAAACGAAATTAAATTTTTCATTGTTATCTGATAACAATACGCGCACTGATATTTATATCAATAGAAATGTTAAAAATTCACCTCTCATTATTCGCCAGTAATTTAATTGCAATTGAATTAAATTCTCTCTAATTTAATTCGACTCGTGCACTTTGGCCACTCGATTAATGTCTCGTATATTTCAATGCTAAACGCCCAGTTTCGCGGAGTGCAGTCGAATGCAGATCCTACGAGAATTCCGACGCGCCTGAAAATGTTTCAGTCTGGATATTACCCGGTGGTACACGCCCCGACAGGAATGATGTGAGAAATTATGTGCGCCGGATGTTCCGGATGTTTGAGGACGCTCAGGATGGCCGTTGTTGAAATTACTGTGATAATTTAATTGCGGTGCGGCATGGTCAACGGAACCGCGGTTATTCGTTCGAAGCAGGAGTCGTTTATTTTATTTAGGGAAGAATGTGTATTTTACACACACGCACACGCACGCACACACACACACACACACGCACACACACACACACACACACAGCATACACACATTCGGATTGTAATATAATAAACGCGCCACGGTGAATTATGCGTAAAAGCGTAAATTTCACATGCGCGTGATAATTCTCAAGTGTCGGTTTAAGAACAAAGACATGGCGAACGCGATAGCCGTAGAATGAAAATTATCCTCTGGATTCTTCGGTGATTTATCGCCGTGTCGCGAAAAAGTGCGCGTCGCTCGCGGCTTTGAGAAACGCGCGCGAGAAAGCTTGAGGGACGTTAACCCGGAGAAGGAGGAGAGACGGCACAATAGAATCCTAATGGACGCGCATTACATGTAGCCGCGTCTCCCTGCGCATCGTTTCAAATTATTTCAATCTAACTTGGCGGATGCAATTTTCCAGATCCGGCCGCAGAGAATACTATTTGATTATCGGAATATGAAAATGTGACTTTCTACACCGGAGATAATTTGTAGCTCGAGTCACGTGGAATTTCCGCGCTTATGAATCCGGCTTTCTTCCGGCGGAGGGGGTAGGGGGTGGGACGACAAGTTGCCATTAATTTTCAACGTGCAAATTCGCGGAGAAGTCGTCGTATCTTCTTACCTCTGAGACGTACACCCACGCGCGCGCGCGCACGCACGCACGCACGCACGCACGCACGCACACGTACACATTTGCATTCCGCTTTTCTCATCGCGGCGGAGAAGGTTGGGGACGTAGGGCAAATCCTTTGAGCAATTCCAACCCATCTCATCGCCGTTTTCCATCCGCTGCCGCTGTCGTTGGCGGTGATGGTCCGGGCATTACACGGCAGGCGAGAAACGTCGTAATTGCTGAAATAATGGTCGTTTTGGCCTACGGCACGGCACGGCGAACAAAACGGTGGCGATTACGTTATCTTGAAATTCAATTCCGCTATTGTTCCTCGCACGAGAGCGGGACGGAATCCGAAGGAACTTTGATACTGTTTCGTAAGACCGCGGCTCCCCCGACAAACGCTCACCGCAAGGCGTCGTCCGGAAACAGTCGTGCAAATTCTTCCGCGTAATACAATCAGTGTCGTGCGCGCTCACATTATGTAAATCATCTGTGTCACTTCGAAACGTATTAATGACGGAAGAGGATACCTTTTTCACTCACTTTATCCTTTGTTCTTTAAGAGATAAATTGCAACAACTGTAATCCGTATATTCTTCTTTTAGAAAATGTTGCAAAAGAGGTTTTTACCATGTATGCTGTTTTCTCCTCCCTTCATAAATATGTACATTTGCATAAAGTAAAAACTTCATCTTTTCTTTCGACTTGTAAAAGAGGAATGGAAACAATATAATAATAAAAATATAATAGCATAACATAACATTTCAATTACGTTGTAATATTTCAAATATTCTCTTTAAAATAATTAATCTAATTAAAAAGTTATGATTCTTTTGCAATAATCGCTTCACTCGGTGAATTTACAGAAAGAATGGAATTCAATTTCTTCTTAAGATTTTTTCCTTCTATTATCATATCACTTTCATTAGCGAAACCACTGATGAACAGTCATCAACGTGCCACGCGCAATAACGCAATTAGCATCGCGCATACCACATATTGGCCATTATTGGCTTCCTGCATATCGATGTTCGCCATTAGAAAACTCTACTGAAAATATTCAGCCTAAATTCCATCCTCATTTCATTCGCATTTTATCTCTTTCGTAACAATTTTATGTCTCGTAAATATTGGGACATGTAAAATATGTATCGGAAAGTATGTTGCACTATCATCCATCAAAGTGTCTATTTTCAGAAATGTGTTCGAAAAAATATATTCAGTTCGATGCAACAATTTAAAGATAGCTCTTACTCTGTGACATTTAATCTTCAGAAGAGGAATTGGGCGTTTTTATGCGACTCAATTGAAACGAAAATACGAGCTGTAACGAGGCTGACGCATCGTAAAAATCCTTCAGTACTCATTAATATCTTAATTTCATATTCAACGTCATATTCTCGTTCACGAAAATATCTTTGGAGAGCACATAAATTCCACGGTTTAACCATAAATTATATATTCTATGTACGTATATATTACATATATATTACAATTTTAATTTCTCTTAAAAATATTAAACTCAAATATTACTCAAATATTAAACTCAAAGAATAATTTTCATTCCGTGATATTTAATTTTTAAAACAGAAATTTACAGCTTTTAGCTTTTATGCAGCTCTCTTCTCAATGAAGAAAAATATGAACGGTAACAAGACAGTCTATGCATTTATGAGGAAAAGCCTTCAACATCCATTAATTTTTAATATTTCAGTCACTAGTTTCCTCAAGCGTGCGCGCTTCGTATTTCGAAAGAAAGAAATTTCAGTTTTAAAACAGCGTATACAGTTCCGTGTATATATGGAGAGATTGGCAAAGGGGACGGCTATTACACCTGCGAGACGTCCGTATTGCTGGCGTTTATACCGCAAGTACCGTAACGCTACGCGCCTGAGGCATGAAAGCGACAATAAAGGTGGATTTGATTAGACTGTCGACGTTCTCCTATATCGCCCACTCATTTCCTTTTCCGCGTTATCTCGTCGCCGGAGATGCGCGCCGCCATCGCTCTCTGTATTCGTTTAATTGGAAATTCAGCGGGGCGGCAAAATGAAGCTTTACGTACACAAGCTTTACGTCATACGGAGTTGAGCAAGAATGACGCGTTTAAACGCCCAACGTAACACAATATATTCTATTTTTTTCTAAATTATTTCTCGGTTATATGTCATGTTAAAATGCATTAGAAAAATAGAAATCATTTCATGTCGAATAACATAAAAATATATTATCTTTATGTTTTCTTTTAGGTATTGTATCTCTTATTTTTCTCGACGAGGGAGTAGATTAAAAATTTCGCAAAGGTTTTATCTATAGTCTAATTATTTCGGAAGAAAATTGTACTTTTTTGACAGTAGTGTCATGTATGCCCTTCTATCCTTTTGCGCAATATTGGTTTCTCGCAGCGCAGATAACCAACGACCGAAAAATTGCAGTTGCGTTTACATGGCGTAAATATTTGCGATAGGGCGCTGTCTTCCTGTGGCGCACGTTTAATTGAAAAACTGCAGGGTGGATTTCGGGACGGGAATGGAATTTACGCCATGCTATCCTAATATGTATTCCATCGGGACCGAGACCGAACGGAGAACGTCGTTTTCTTACTTTAGGAAAGCGAAATAAATTTACAAAGCATGGAAAAAACGTGGACGGCATTTCCAAGTCAATAAAAGCTTTTTACTATCCCCGGCCGCTGTCGATAAATTATTTCCATGCGAATCAAGATGACTCTCTCTCTCTCTCTTCCTCTCGGCGCTATAAAAAAAAATGTTACTTCTCGAAACGCCGCGGAAAAAGCGCAGAGAGGATCTCAAATCTAATGACATTTTTTTATGTTCCTTCTTCATATGAAACATTCATTTCTTTCATTCGTTTCTCTCCGGATATTGCAAATGCTGCGCAGATGCATCTCGAATCTTTGTATCTGTTAATGAATGAAGATACATCACAAACTTATTAACTTCCGTCAAATTACAACGGTACTCTTTGTAATTAGCCAAGAACATAGTAAAAGCACAGCAGATATCACGGCAAATAAAAGAAAAAGTCGTAAAAGGCATAAAATAAAATATCTTTTTCAAGCCACCCTCTTATCATCGGTCCCGGTTGGCATACATAAATCGTTGCCGACATAGCAGAATACAAATGCGTTAATCTTTGCAATAGCGATTTCCGATCCACGCAAGCAACATATATACATAGCAACGATTTTTCGTCATCACGCGGAAAAAGGCCGCGTGTCGCGGGCATCGCTGACGCGTTCGTCAGCCGTCGAAAGCTTCGTTTTCGGGGTAAAGCTCGTCATGGGAGGTTAATGGGCTTCACCGAAAATTGATGGGCACCGTGCATGCCCGTGTGAAATACGTGCACCGCGCGCCGAACTTTTTTCCCCTTCACGTGCTCGTCCTTGCCTTTCACGAACGCCCGTTCCGGCGCGCGAGCTCAATCTTTTTATTTCACCGCCTCCTAGAACGGCAATCGCCAGGCATCGCGATTTTTCCTGAGAACATTCGCGACGTGCCCGGTCTTCCATCTTCGCCCGGGCCGTCCTCCCCCCCTCCCACCCCCTCGCGAGTTTCAGAAGCCCGACGCAGCGTCAAAATTCATCGGAGAGGGATTTTTTTTCACGACCCGCCGGAATGCACCGAAGAAAAATGGGAAGAGCTTTCAAGCGCGTCGACGAGCGGCGCTTTGTAAACGTATCGATCTGCTCGCTCTCTGATACGAGCAATTTAATCTTACATAAGTCTAACCGTTTCGCTAGGCCTCTATACAGTTTTGAATCCGGGAGTATCGCCGTCATCGTCGATCGCTCGACCACTTGCGATTCACGTGGACAGGTATAGGTACGCGGATTACAATGAGTGATCGACGACTATAAACTATGATTGGTAGTATTGTTCCGAGCGGGCGTCTGGCGCTCCGAGGCAGATTGACGACTACGGTAACGCATATCAAAGGGCTAAACGTATAAATCAGCGTGAGCTACGCTTTAGCAGTCAATAAATCACAATAAATCACTACATTTACTACATCGTGGCGTTCTCTATGTGTGTGTGCAGATTCGCGACAGCCTGGCCGCAGAGGGTATGGAGCCGCTGGAGGAGGAGATCCCGCAGGAAGACATAATCGGCCGCGATTACTGCCGTTACAACATAAAGCGCCTGATGGCGCCTTAAGCTGCCGGGAATACTCTCGGCGAGCGCCGCTCGCAACGTAACTCGCGAAACGATTTAGCGTGATCGAAGCGGAAACAGAGAGATAGGTACAGAGAGGAAGAGAAAGAAAAAGAGAAAAGGGAGAGAGAGAGAGAGAGAGAGAGAGAGAGAGAGAGAAGAAGAGAAGTGGAGAG